TGTGTGTGTGTGTGTGTGTGTGTGTGTGTGTGAGTGTGAGTGTATGCGTGTGCAAGTGTGAGTGTATGCGTGTGCAAGTGTGAGTGTATGCGGGTGCGTGTGTCTGTGTGTGCGTATGTGTGTGTTTAATTTATTATTGTGAGTGCCTGCCCTAATAATCTGAAATATGTGCATCACAACTACAAATATAATCTGGAGGCAGTGAAACAACCCTCCCTATGAGATCTTTGTAGCAATCTTGCTGGTGGCAAGTTTATTTGTCCGAGCTGCATCTCTTTCAGCTTTGCGTCTCAGCTGTTCTTGTCTTCGCCTCTCCCTCTCATACTGTCGTTTCTCTCGCAGGACAGCATCCAGATCGCCTTCATCTGCTTCCCCTTCCCAGCCTTCACTGTCCTCAACCCAGTCCTCAAGCTCCGATGACTGAAAGAAGAGGAAACGTTTGCTCTTCCGAACTGGAACTTTGGGACACGTGATTTAACGTTGCTTGGAGTCTTTTATATCGTCGCCCTGCTAAGATAATTGCCTAACTCACATTTTTCTCAAATTGGGATTTTTGCCTAACTAACCTCCTACACACATGGGACTGTAAATCTGCCTAAGTCACTGAAATTACTCATAACAAGAATATTAAACAAAATGCATTTGGACTATCTCATCAATAAAGGGTAGATATTGAATAAAGGAGTTTTTTTTTTTGTTCTCTTCAAAATATGCAAAAAATGAGATAAGCAACTATCTTAGCAGGGTGACGATATCATGACCTCTTCCCCAGTGGTTTGTTCAGATATATCTAAAGGTCTAACAATACTTCCATTTGAATACTCTAACTAAAGAATTACCTATTCTAACACTGTCTTTAATCATCCTTATAGGACATGGAGTTCTCAACAAATGATAATGAATGGTATCTCAGTGACCTTTTCTGTTTTAGAATATGGAAAAGCTATCTTCTAATCACTATTTATATTTCAATGCTCTATCAAAAAAAAAAAAAAAAAAAAGTGGTAACATTAATTAATAATGGACAAAGAGAAATACCTAATCACCGAACAAAATTACATGTTACACAGAAACCAAATTAGAGGAAAACAACAAAAGTACAACATCACTTACTTGCAGAAGTGGGTCAGAAAGTGTAAAGGATAATCTATTGGATACTTGCTGTTCCTCCTCAGGCCGCTCCAGAATCACGACCTGTGGCTTTGCTTCTATACTTGGAGCAAGGTCCTGCAACAAGGAGAACAATCATGAGACCCTTGAGCCTTCATATCCTAAATTTTCTATACAATTGTGAATGGCTAGTTAAGACTTGATGTGACTATAATAATAATAAAGGGTGAAAAAAAAATATATATATATTTTGTTACACCAATGAATATATATGGAATACCTATCTTTCATTAATTATTTAAAGATTATCACTATTACTATTATTCACGTCCCTATACACAGTGTGATCTAGGTGAGACCAATGGATAGCCTCACTGGATTTTACCAGAAAGGATTGTGCATGGACTGATTGTGGTTTGCCTCAATCTTCCTAGCTAGTTTACACTATGTGCATTAACAGTAGCACAAAGTAACTGCCCATGCCACTCAGCTCAATTTCTCGTAGTGAGACAAATTTTCCCCAACATGAGTTGACCCACCCCTTACAAATCTTGCAGCATATACAAAGTGATAGCTGTAACAGTTAGGTCATAAGATGGCTCGTGATAAGCACGATGGCCATGAGTTCATTATCTCAATTAGAGTGCTTTGTAAGTTCAGCAGCAAGATTAGCAGGTGTTACAAGAGGTTGCCTGTTAGAGAGGCTCTGAATGCAGTGTGGGGAAATGAGGGAAGAGGTTGCCTGTTGTCCCTTTTGTTGTCAGGTGGTTGATCTAATCCAATGGTCTCACTGTCCTCCAGGTAGGTGGGCTTCAGCTTAAACTCAGTCCCTGTAGCCCTCTATGTCGAGGAAATAGGCCTCTTATGGTCTTTGTTCCTTACTAAGATGTACCACAAGATGAGTGATTCTGGATGGTGATGTTGACAGTCATCCTTGAAGGTCTACTTGCATCTGCTGACTGATGTGATGCTTTGGTTCTGGGAATTGTCATATTCCAGAATTGTCATGCAGTTGATTTTGCTAGTTTGGCAGGCAGGCCCCATGTCAGACATCTTTTCATACCAAACAAATTTTTGTGTGACGAGTTTGATGGATGAGAGTGGATACAAGTGTGACATGCATGATTACTCTTGCTTCAAAACTGCCAAGTACTGAGTCCATGCAGCAATTGAACAGTGGAAAAGTGGTGCTATTGGCAGGCACACCAGGCATCACCAACCTTGGCAAAAGCATAAACCAGGGGCCTGTTGTCCCTGCAGATATTGAAGGACGTGCCTTCCTGGAGGAATCTGAATTATTGGATCAGAAGGCAGAGCATGGGCCACTCACAAACATAAGTGCTATATTTTAGCTTGACCCGGTGAAACCTTCTGCTGAAGAAGGTATGTGGGAGAGGCATACTATTAATGAATTGCTCTGACATCCATGGTAAGAATAAGAGGGGCCTCAATTTTTGGAAAGAACTATCTTGCAGTTGACATAAGGACATCCTTCCTGGCTGCAGATGCATATTGAAGGATAGTGTCCCACTCCAGCAGCTTTAGTTTTCCAATGAGGGTATTGTAGAGAGGATCCACTGTATTGACCATGTCTGGGAATAAGTGGAGGTAGAATTTTACCATGCTGTTAAGTCCCTGAAGTTGCTTGGTGGTGGAAGGTGGAAGGAATTTCTTTACTGCCAACACAGTGGAGGAACTAAATAAAAATTCAATCTAATGAACAACCAAGCCACTATTCCAAAGTAGTTACAGGAGGCTCTGGATATGCTCAAGATGCAGGCTAATATTTTTGCAGAAACTAAGGAAGTCATACACATAGTAAACACAGTAGGGGAAGCTGCTAAGGATAACATCCATAGCCAAATTATATCATGACATGACGGTCATGTTGTCTGGATCCTAGGTTTAATCCCTAAATACTGCAATGCCTCAGCTAATCCTTGCCCCAGCCATAAGAGCCAATTTTTTATATTTCATGAATGGTAAATGATTATAAGTGAAATGGTTGCCAAGCAGCAGTGTCAAAATTTAGAATAGTTACTATGAAACACAGAAAACAGAAAATGGGAAATGAGAGAAGTGGTGTTCAATATGGAAGCGAGAGGGAGAGAAGTATGGAAGAAATCATGAGTGGGTCATGGGACCAGGGATGAAGCCTTCTATGCTTGTGCAGGGGGAAGGAGAGGTGTAAGGGGTAAGGACCAAAAAAATTCAGAAGGACCAACAAGAAGCTTCTCTAATATCCAGCCACACTTTTGTGTCCTTGATGATCTAGCATACTCAACATCAAGAATTATGGCAGACTCAACCAAACTCTGTCAGTCTTTGTGCTAATGCATACAATGATATGTTAATGTATACAAAAAATAGAGGTAGCATTGGCTAACTGCAAGGTCATGGATCTGAACCCACCAAGTATCAGCTGAAGTCAAGGTTAGGTTTGAAAGGTAAAGACCACTCTGTTACATCACTCTATGGTTTACTATATATGTTTCTCCACAAGTATAATTCTAAAATGATAAGAATAGGTATATAAGTACATATTCAAAAGGTTGTGCTAAACAAAGAGAAAGGAATTAATATAATAGTAACAAACACCAAAGATATTTGCTTTGGGTGTTATTTGGAAATCAGAGAAGAGAGCTTTGCATAAGGGGGTTAATACTATTCAATTCATAAAAAAGTATTAAGAAGGGGCACTACCTACTTTATCTCCCACTTTGCCTACTACCATGGAGTCACACAAATACTCAAAAATCAGAACAAATAATCACCTTTCATAACTATGTAACTGCAATACATCATCACCATTTGGGTGGTGATGCTGGGGTCCACTATATTGGACATCAGCCATAAAAGACCATAACTGGGCACTCATAAAATTACTTGAACTTGAGGTACACTTTTAGATCATGAACACATTTAGCTCCAGGTTATGGAACAGGGTTTGTGAAATCTGTTATCAGGTTGTTGGAAACATTACAGACACCAGTTATCATTCCTTACAAAATCCTATCTTGACAAACATAATATAGCACCTGTGCGGCTTCTTCACTTACAAACCCTTTAAAAACCAAACACTTATCCAAAATGGATCAGCATAAACATTTGAACAATCAAGATCATTAGGAACATAAATATATAAACATCCACACTTGTATATCATTTACACAAAGATATTGCAAATATTACATAGTAATACTTAATTTCTTATAAAACTGGTATCACACAAAATTATGATTTAAGGACAATATTGCTAACTTAAAATGCTTCCTATTTCACATCTCAAGCTGACATGACCTCAAAACAAATGCTTCTGCTGCTACTCCTCATAAGACCAGTATATTTCACTAGTGATTAATAATCCCAGAGGTGAAATAGGCTCATACCCCATTCTGCCTTACCACAAAAGGTTACAACCTACAACAGGAAAACTAAACAGAGAAAATCATACCTGGAAATAATTAGGTTCCTCCTCCTCCTGCGTCTCTGTTTCCTGCATTTTTCTCTGCTGGCTTAGGCGGTACTGGTTGATCTGCTGTTGCAACATGGACTGCTCTGGTGATAGTGAGGATCTGCCTCCACCATCACTGACTACAGATGATGGTACATCCCATGAGTCCCAGCCGCCAAGTCCTTCATCAGGCTGTTCAGAACTCAAACTGATCAGCAACATGTAGATCTTTGTTTAATATTTCCTTAAAATAAAACTTGGAAGTCCTTATTAGACTAACAAGTAAACTACAAATATACTTACAATATACTATAATAAACTATACTTATAAAACTGTACTAAACAATACTTAGTAGAGATACTATAATAAACTCTACATGCATGGCAAAGTCATTTTAATATTCTTGATATGCTGATTCACACAATATACAGTTTAGAATTATATAAGCAAATACTTGACACAAAAATAATTATGAATTTTTCAAGGTAAAAGGTAATAGCTGCCAAAATGGAACATCAGATAAAACAGATAAAAAACAAACAAACTACACAAAATATGCATGCTGAGTGTGAAAATTGCTATTTCAAATCAGACTTGTGCTTTCCTTTTAATAGGCTGCGTTTGCTCCCACTCCATTATTTTTGTTAAACTTGAGCTATTCTTTTGGTAGAATCTATTATTTCCATAACTACCACAATGGTACATGAGTGCCTGTTCTTCTTCTCCCCTTGCATACCATGAACAGTGCACTCAGCCACTACAGTGAACAATTAGAAGCACTGGAAACTATTTGTTCCTTATTGCCTATAACTTGGGCTGTGGCATATAAGATTTTTCCTTATAATTGAAAGAGGGTTTAAACCTACTTAAAAGGGCTGTATCTTGTAAATGAATGCTGCCTGGATCAAACTAGCAAACAAATACTTAGCAAGCACAGCATAGTACAGCATATGGGTTGTGTGTATCACTGGCATGGCTAAGGACATAATCCTTTTCTTTACAAACAAAATACTCTACAAGTGCTTAGTCACCAAGGAGTCAATCACTAGGTCTACCTGACCTCACCTGTTTACCCCATTCCTTGAATTTGCAGGGAAAAAGTTTTTTGTCATTATTATTATCATTGTCATTATCAATACTATTATCATTGTGATCACTGTTACTATTATTATTATTATCATTCTCATTATCACAATCAATATTACTATCATCATTATTATTAACACCATCATTGCCTTTGTCATTACTGTAATCATTATCATTATTGTTATCATTACTATTACTATAATAACTATCATGATTATCATCATCATTCCATTATCATAATAATATTCACATAAACACAACATTGGATGCAATGTGCATAACATGCTTTATCTATTGAGACTTGATTATCTCATACATATGTCAGATACACAAAATATGATTAAACTCTAATGTAAACAATCTAAAAAAACAACAACATTAATACAAATGTTAATTTTTATCTGATCCTCATCGACCCCAATCCATCCCTGGACCCTCTAGGAGTCCATGAACCCCAGTTAAGAACCCCTGGTCTAGACTATGAAATAAGCACATAAGATAAAATGTAAAAAGCTTATAAAATGGCTAATAGATACAGATAAATATAAGAAGAAGAACATTGTATATAATAATCTAATCATCTAAAAAAATAACAATAATAATAAATAAATAAATAAAAGCTAAAGATTATAGAAGCAGTGATGTGTAAGACAAGCATTTAGCAGAGGCACTTGGCAAACAAGCCAGTAACAGAAAATGGTATCTCAAAAAGAAATCCACCAAGGTACCGACACCTGGCATCAATGGCTTACCAAGCAATAGCTGAATATTTAAAAAATATTAGTAGCCACAATCATGTTACCTCCAAGGCAAGTACCAGCTTCAACAGCTGTCCATAAAGGATTGAGGGCCAAAACACTCTAACTTTGACCTGTTGATGACATGCCACCAAATATCTATGGGGAAAACACAACTCTGAAAAAACCTTAAAATAAAAAGGGGCTAAATCCTACCTGGCTGGGAGATGAATTCAATTCTCCATCTCCCGTGACGGCAATGGGAAGGTGAGCATCGGAGTGCCTCCTCTTGCGTAAACAACAGAAGCATCTCCTTACAAGGCTAAGTATAAGCAAAAGTAAGGACTTCACTTTCTTCACTGCAATCATCAGAATCATCCTGAAAGAGGGTGAATTTAGATAAAATTCTGTCTGTAAACTGTTAACTTATATCCTAAGATACAAAACAAATTTCAGTTGAGTGAGAGAGAGAGAGAGAGAGAGAGAGAGAGAGAGAGAGAGAGAGAGAGAGAGAGAGAGAGAGAGAGAGAGAGAGAGAGAGAGGTTGAGAGAAAGAGAGAGGTTGAGAGAAAGAGAGAGGTTGAGAGAAAGAGAGAGGTTGAGAGAAAGAGAGAGGTTGAGAGAAAGAGAGAGGTTGAGAGAAAGAGAGAGGTTGAGAGAGAGAGAGGTTGAGAGAGAGATAGGTTGAGAGAGAGAGAGGTTGAGAGAGAGAGAGAGAGGTTGAGAGAGAGAGAGAGGTTGAGAGAGAGAGAGAGAGAGAGAGAGAGAGAGAGAGAGAGAGAGAGAGAGAGAGAGAGAGAGAGAGAGAGAGAGAGAGAGGTTGAGATAGAGAGAGAGAGAGAGAGAGAGAGGTTGAGAGAGAGAGAGAGGTTGAGAGAGAGAGAGAGAGAGAGAGAGAGAGAGAGAGAGAGAGAGAGAGAGAGAGAGAGAGAGAGAGAGAGAGAGAGAGAGAGAGAGAGAGAGAGAGAGAGAGAGAGAGAGAGAGGGAGGGAGAGGGAGGGAGAGGGAGGGAGAGGGAGGGAGAGGGAGGGAGAGAGAGAGGAGAGAGGAGGAGAGAGGAGAGAGAGGAGAGAGGGAGAGAGAGGGAGAGAGAGGGAGAGAGGGAGAGGAGGGAGAGAGGGAGAAGAGGGACAGAGGGACAGAGGGAGAGAGGGAGAGAGAGAGAGAGAGAGAGAGAGGGAGGGAGAGAGAGGGAGGGAGAGAGAGAGAGAGGGAGAGAGAGAGAGAGAGAGAGAGAGAGAGAGAGAGGAGAGAGAGAGAGGAGAGAGAGAGAGAGAGAAGAGAGAGAAAGAGAGAGAAAGAGGGAGAAAGAGGGAGAGAGAGAGAGAGAGAGAGAGAGAGAGAGAGAGAGAGAGAGAGAGAGAGAGAGAGGGAGGGAGAGAGAGGGAGGGAGAGAGAGAGAGAGAGAGAGAGAGAGAGAGAGAGAGAGAGAGAGAGAGAGAGAGAGAGAGAGAGAGAGGAGAGAGAGAGAGAGAGTGAGAGAGAGAGAGAAGAGGTGAGAGAGAGAGAGAGAGAGTGAGAGAGAGAGAGAGAGAGATGAGAGAGAGAGAGAGAGAGTGAGAGAGAGAGAGGGAGGAGAGGGAGGGAGGGAGGAGAGAGAGAGAGAGAGAGAGAGAGAGAGAGAGAGAGAGAGAGAGAGAGAGAGAGAGAGAGAGAGAGAGAGAGAGAGAGAGAGAGAGAAAATCATTATCATATTCTTCTTTCATGATAATTTAGATATGTTTTCTGAATGCATAGAAAAAAAGTACACATCAGTAGAATTGCAGACTGACATACTAATATGATGAATCCAAAAGTAGAAGCAATTACAAGAAAGAAGTGAACCATCAAAGTAAAAAATGTTTAATATTGGGCCATCCAAGCATCCAAGTCTGTTTCATCTTACAAACGACATGGATTTAAAACCCATATAGAATGGCCTCCCTAGTTCATAGAAAGAAAATTTGCTCTTAAGTCCCATTAGAAACTTAAGTAAATCATATACAGAAAATTAATGCAGAGACATTCTTCGCTCTCCCTCACAACACAGGCACATGAAATAGAATTCTGAAAAGGTTAATGAAATTGCAGAACATGAACATAAGCTGATTATCACAGTTAGATTAAATTATAAAAATTTCTAAGTAAACTCATAGTCTTTCAGTTCTTTGAAAATAGAAAAATCTGAAACACTATCTAAAACTCTTCTCTTACATTCAGAGTTGGATGACTGTAAAGGAATGTCTATTTGATCTCACGAGACATTCAGCATTTAATGTGCACAAATATACCAATATATATCTGATACATTTGTTGGATTCACAATGCAATGTGAGAGTTATAACCGATTTTACTGAAGATTAGGCTCATTTATACTAATTTAGCTTGGTTGTACTAAATCCAGTATACCATCTGTACGATCTAATTATCTATGCACCAATTCGTGCGTATTCACAGATGACTACCAGAGAAAGATTTTTGATGTCATGATACATTGCACAACATGAAATGATACAGTCTTTCAATAAAAAAAAATACCCTGCAATTTTTAAAATTCAAATTGATGTTCAACACATGATTTCTAACACTATGAAAACAAAAGTATCAATCGGATAAATTGCTGAATCTGCTAGTAATTGAAAGAAAGGACATACTCTTTACACAATCCCAATCAGAGCTTCACTGGACGAGGTATCAGGCACCATGCACAGTAAGCCACTTGAGGGAAAAATCATAAGCACAGGAAATATATAAGTCCCTCAATCTCTTTGATTACAGCTGCAGTATATAGAACTGACCTAAACCAGGCTATAAAGTGCTTACTTTTAAGGGGCAGACATGGGCAAACAAACAAACAACTGTTTAGCTCTTTGAGTAGGTTTGATGTGTGTGGCATGGTTATATAGGCCACCTAGAAAGGAGTCCAGGCATGCCATGGTATGCATGGACATGCCACCCATCAGCAATGGGTTAATTCATATAAAACCTGATTGGAGCAATACAATCAGCAATGCTTGTACTTGGGCAGCTGCATCCCCCCCCCCCCAAGGCAAATTCTATGAATGCCGTGGCCTATGCCATCTTGGCACTCTGGTGAAACCAATAATTCTCTACCACATAAATTCCGACTTCGAGCATGGACTAGCTCCTTAGGGACATCACTTCATCATGACGATAAGCATACTCTACCATCTAAGAATATACAGACTGGAAGTTCATTAGCCTTGACCTGAAAGCTTACAACAGAAGAGGTCACATCAGCTGCTCGAGACATCGTGGCGCATCGTGGGAAAGCAACTATGGGGTTTATCTCGCCTCTCTGCAGCTCCCCTTTCTATATTAGAATTCTAACTAAGCCATGAGTATCTCTGTTTTTCTCTACCTCTGTGCAACCCTTATTTCAAGTCCTACCGAAATAGATAACAGATAATAGATAACAGGCATTAGATAGACGAGATAATACAACCTATAAGGTCATGTAACGGGAATGAAATTATATACTTCCTCACACTTCTACCTTCGTAAAACTGCGGTCTTCACCGGCATTTTCCTGATCGTTCCTGCTTCTACGATAAAGATTTAGTGAGAAAAAAGAGATAGGAAAATATAGTTAATTATACTGCCAACGAACATCGTGGGAAAATATGCTCTCAAACGGACCTTTTTTTCCCATATTTTCCTCATCTCCTCTCAAACTGATGTTCCTAATGAGTGTGCAAGATCCGAGAAGGTGGTAGGAGTCATATTAATGGCGTTAATTAGCAAAAATTAGTGAAAGAGAGAGAGGCTATTAGCATTACCTTCCATCAGCTGAGTCTTCTGCTGTTGTGGAAGGTGTTCGACTTTCAAAATTATCTGCGGGATCGATGTATCTCCCTCTTTTAGACTATTCTAAGCCTTATTTTGGAATCCTTTTTACTTAGAATTTAAATCTGCTGTAATTATGAGCCTGTTGATGATGGGGTAGACGTGAAAATTCTTATTATTTGTTATTTTTCGAAGCCCAAGTAGAAGCTGGAGAATTCGTCGAGGGAATCGAACGTAGCGGATTCATCCCCTCCGTTCGCATAGAATTAGTTGACATCTTCGGAATCCGCGAACGCAAACTTTTAATTTAAAATTCTCTCTATTTTTTTCTTTCTGTTGCTTTCCTAATCTTTAATTTTGATGATGCTTTTATAAGTGAACTTCAAAGGTTCACACAATTTTTTTTTTTACTGATATTCCTACGGTCTTTTGGCTTCAATGTGGGGCTGTAACTCTTTCATGGAAGAACAGTCATTATGGTCGCAATGAAAACGGTACTGATAACGACTATTATGGCTCTGTTGCAATATCAGTATTAGTGATAACGAAACTGATAAGAATAAAAAAGGATAACAACTAAGTCAATGCAACTGATGCTGCTACTACTACCACTAATGATAATAATGATAATGATGATGATGATGATGATGATGATGATGATGATGATGATCATGATCATGATGATCATGATGATGATAAAAATAATAATAATAATAGTAATAATAATAATAATAATAATAATAATAACAATAATAATAATAATTGAAAAAAAATAATCATGATAATAATGATAACAATATTAATAATTATTATTATTATCATTATTATAATGATAATAACAATAATTATAATAAAAACAAGTAATGATAATGAAAGTCTAATAATGAAAAAATAAAGATTTTTCTACTACTGCTACTGATAATAACAATGATGATAATAACAATAGTAATGACAATAGTAATAAAAATATAATAATAAGAATAATGATACCAAAACCAATAATGCTAATAAAAATAGTAATGATAATTATGATGATGATAATAATAATAATGATAATAATAGTAATAATGATAATGATAATAATGATGAAGATGATAATAACAATGATGACAATAATAATAATAATAATAATAATAATAATAATAATAATAATAATAATATGATAATGGAAAAATAAAAGCTATAATAATAATAATTATTATTATTACTATAAAAATGATAATATTGATACTAATACTAATACTAACAATGATAATAATAACAATAAGAAAAACAATAATAATAGTTATGATAATTATCAGCATTGTCATAATCATAACAAATATACTAATTATGATAATTATGATTATAATAATGATGATAATAATAATAATATTAATAATAATGATAATTGTTATTATTATTATTATTATAATGATAAAAATAATAGTAATAATAATAATGATAATAATAATGATGATAACACTACTACTACTACTACTACCAATAATAATAGAAATAATAATAATAATAATGATAATGATAGCAATGACAATAATAATGGTAAAGATTGATAACGACATTATCATTATTGTTATGATTAGTATTGTATTACCATCATTATTATTACTGTTGGTATTATTATGATTAACTATCAATATTATTATTATAATCATCATCATTACTATTATTATCATCATTATTGTTAGTATTCTTGTCAGTGTCATTATCATTACATCATTATTATCGTCATCATTAATATCATTACAGCTACAACAGTAATAATAACAATACTATACTAATCACACCAATGGGAAATAAAGATGATAATAATGGTTCCGTTTATAACCAAAACACTAACTGCAAAAGTAAAGAAAAAAAGTCGCTCACAAGGTTTCATATCTCATTTTTTTATCAGGTTCATTATGCCTGAGTTTTATCACTACATCTAATAAAGAAACAGGAACTTCGCCGTCGCCTTTCTTATGCACAGATGCCGTTGATAAAGCTGCAGTTGCAAATGTGTTCGTGTTGCCTGTTTTTCTTAGTAGATAGTGGGATAGTAGGAGGTAATGTTGAAAATTGGAAAGAAATTACTGCATAGAGTAACAATATGTTGGGGTTTTCCATACTCGATTTATGAATTTTGTGTGTATGTTTTTTGTCAGTTTCTGCATGTGTGTTACTGTGTCTGTCTATCTGTCTCTGTCTCTCTCCTCAGTCACAAACACACACACACACTATCACTTCAACTCTGTCATCTCTTTGGTTCAGATTGAATCAAACAGCTTATAAGGAACAGTGAAAATAAATCAACATATTATATTTCATTCCTATACTGATAATTCATTAAGGGATTACAAGGGATGAATGAATTTTGACTATTACATTCAAACAACCGTAAGCGAGGGTGTGGGAGTCCGTTGCAGTGATATGCGCGGAAGGGAGTGGAGTGTGTACAAGCTGCAGTTTATTTCATTAACTTCGCTAACAGACTGAGGACGCCAACGACTTTCAATTCATCTTGTTCAAGCTTTGCCTCCCGCGCACCATATCACATGTAATAGTATTTCCTTTTATAAATATACTGTAGTAGTATTGCTAGAATTTTCCCTTGTGCGTGGGTCTTTACAGAGTGTAGATGTATTAGAAAGACTTTCCATTACGATAGTAACATATATTATACGCAACAAATACACCCTATACACCTGGTATCTGGAAATGATAATTCCTTGAGAACTTTATAGTAATGATACACATAAAAAAAAAAAACAAAAAAAAACACGGAGCTGAAAATCGGATAGAGATCCTCTCCTCTTTTTAAATCCGCACCACAATCCTAGACAAAAAATGAACCAAGCTCGTGTATGTGACTGGATCCCTTACTCCTTCAGAAATATATTGCAGTTATAATAGAAGCTGGGACATTCAATAAAACAGGGTATTTGTCATTGTTCTTAGTCCTTCAATCCGAGGAACATGACAGTAATGCATTTTGGTTGGCGTTATTGAGAACGTCTATTTCCAGGCTCTTCTCCACCAGCGTTGTTCAAGATGACGACTGAGTCTAATTATATATTTTACATTTAGATGAGTTGTGATGCAAATGCTGGCGAGTCTTTTGTTTAAAGTGATTAGCATGCAGTACATTTTATTCATGAATTTAAAAAAGACAACATGGTTTTAGATTACTGCGTCGGATTGCTTAGAGTCTTATCATTCCGTTTTTTTTATGTCTTGACCTCAAAAAAAAAAAAGAAAAAAAGTTTAGACTAGGTAATCAATCTGGATAGAGTTTTACATGCTTCACTCTGTGCGCCCAATATCCCAATATGCAATGATTAAACTATAGAGAAAAAAATGTATCGGTTTGGATTTCCCTCTCGACATTACAAGCTTTTCGTATAACCTTCCCTCAGGTAGACTCAGATCTGAAGATTTGACATTTGACATAAATATCCACTTATGATTTTATATGCTTTAGTCCGGTCTCCCTCAAACCCTCCATCATCTAAACACGACCCATAATCTCCGTATTTTTCCGGCATTTTCAATCTCTCACACTGCAGTTCATACAAACTTAGTGGTTCTCCTGCCTTTTTACGTCTAGAAAGAAAGCTAGAATCACATATTCTAGATAACTCTTGGGTGGTATGAAGTATGTGGCAGCTTCCCAGCTATTCAATGGAAATTTTCCTGACTATCAAAACTCTTATTTTCTGCTTATTATACTGTAAATCGCCTGTGTTTCTCTTCAGTCGCAATCTTCAACTCGTAGTCAAACGTAGCTATTCGTCAACCAAATACGTTTAAAAATTTGAGGAGGAACTTTTGGAGTCCTCTGATTTATGGGCAGCCTCAGCAAAATATGTATGCTCACATGTATGATTTGGAATCCGTACAAAATAAGATAACAATGCACAGGGATTAAGAAGTGCATTGGAAATCGCTATATTAAAATGTGAGTCACAACGTTAAATGCAGTAGATGAACTGACCAGCAGCGTTTCCAACGCCCCCACCCCTCACCCAAAAACAAACAAATAAACAAGCACACTTACACATCAACGGATTCTTATACATACCCAAGGACATTCAGCACTCGCGCGCGCGCACACATAGTATAAGTGTGAGTGTGTGTGTG